AATTTTACTCTGGACAAGGTTCCTCTGGCATTTCATGTTTGTATATGGTGCCCTCTAGTGTCCAGAAACTCTGTTCTGGAGCTGCTGAGCCCCTGAAGCAATGTCAGGGGTCGCAGGGGAGTGGTACTGGGGGTAGGAAAGAGCTGTTCTCCACCTCTGGGCTGCTGTGCCTGTCTCCACTGCCTGAGCCAGTGGTCTGGGCACACAGGTATAAGTTTTTGTCCCAGAGCAGCCAGATATGGATCCCTGCTTTCCACAAGCAGCCGGGATCCCAATCTCCCAGGATCTCTGCCTGTATTAACTTTCCAACCCAGTAGTCATGGAGTCTCATGAAAGCACCATGAAATGTAGGTTTGTGCTCCCAGCGCAGATCTCCAGAGCTAGGTATTCAGCAGTCCCAAGCCTTCCACTCCCTCCCTGCTCCGTTTCTCTTCCTCCGGCCGGTGAGCTGGGGTGGGGGAGGGGCTCAGGTCCTGTGGAGCCACAGCTCTGGTACGTTACCCCGTTCGCTGAGGTCTGCTCTTTTCATCAGGTGTATGCAGTCTGACCCGTCCTCTTTCCTGTTGCTCTCTCAGGATTAGTTGCGCCAATTAAGTTTTCTAATTGCATCCAGTTTTAGGAGGAAGCCTCTTTCTCTCCTTTCACGCTGCCATCTTTAATCCTCTTTCCTTCCTCATATCAATTTTACCTCATCTTTATTTGTTACTTCTCTACCTATAAATTATGCATACTCAAGTAAACATGAAGTCATTAAATAAAAATATAAACCCAAATATTCTTAATCATTCTAATATGTTCCCATTAACAGATGAAAGGGCTTTCACTTGAATTTTCACTTTTTATTTCTACTTCATTATTTAAAGTCAATAATAAAGTCACAACTGTAAAATGTATGCATTTAAAAACATAAAAGATACACTTCAATGACAAAAAATATGTAATGATGATGAAAATACACACTTTGCTGAGGTCAACAGCATGAGTGACAGTATATAAAAGTGAAACTTCAAATATATCCTTAACCAAAACTTATTCCTGAATAGTAAAATTTTCATTCAAGAGTATGTATGTGTACACATCTGGACACCAGCTCCAAAACGACAAAGTGTGTGTATAGGGGGAGGGTTAGATAAAAATATGTGGGCACCAGGAATCCAAGACTAAACTTCTAAAACTAACATTTAATTCAAAATAAAATGAACATTTCTAATAGATGACAACTATATGAAACTTTTTTTCCTTGATAGAAATTAGATGGGCCATTTCTTAACTGTCTCTCCTAATTTTTAATCATACTAATGTGTGTTTTTGGACTTACTGTTTACTGATCTTTTGTTAGTAATTGTTTAAGTAGCATGGGAAAACAGTGGTGTGTTGAGCCCCCTTATGCAGGCACATAAGAATTGCTAGTGCACATCTCTTTCCAACTTTATGTTCAGTGATGTCAAGTTGGTAAGCTCAAATTGACCTTGGTGGGAGCAGTTACACCATGGAAATCAGCAGAAACTACATATCAACATTTCTCCCACCCTCCCAGAAAGGTGCTTATTAAACACTAGTGCATTGCTCTATTTGCCATATTGCGTGAGTGGTATTTGAAGAACATTATATTGACTAAACAAATATTTACTTATTTTTCTCATGTTAATATAAACTGCATCTGAACTTCAAGTTATTTAACTTGTTTATGTCTCAACATTACCTTTAAAATCAAGAAGTTAACATTGTCAACTAAAAAATCAGCTAATATTTACTTATTTGTCTCATTAATGTAAATAGCATCTGAACTTCAGATTATTTAACTTCTGTGTGTCTCAATATTATCTTTAAAACTGGAGGTTAACATTATCAACTAAAAAATAAGCTAATACAAGTACAGTATTTGGCATAGTGAGTACCCAATAAATTTTGCTATTAAAAAGAAAAAATTACATCAGTGATGTGACTGTATTAGGGAGAATGCCAGGCATTTCCCTTAATGTGAATCTTCACAGTTCAGTTTACACATTTGAAATAACAATACTGAGAAATTCTTCACTTGTATTCTGTTAGAATATGAAAACTAAATAACTACTTGGAGTATTTTCCAGATGTTTTATTTTATTATTTTATTTTTAGGTGATTCCTCCTAAGGAGTGGAAGCCAAGGCAATGCTATGATGACATTGATAATTTGCTTATTCCAGCACCGATTCAGCAGATGGTCACAGGGCAGTCGGGACTGTTCACCCAATACAACATCCAGAAAAAAGCCATGACAGTGAAGGAGTTCAGGCAGCTGGCCAACAGTGGCAAGTGAGTGGATCCAATTTGCTGTTTTTATTTCTTTCAAAGATATAGGTGACCATGGTAAGAAACCAAGTAGACATAGGAGCTTGTGATGAAAAGCAGGAGTCTTCTGTACAATCTTTTGTTCCTCATTTAACTGGTTCTGTTTTCTGTTCTTCAGGTGGTAGCCTTCTTACATTTAGTTTATTCTGCTAAGGAAATTGTTTCTCATTTTTTCATCTCATTCATAATACCTGTAAAAATAGGCTTCCTCTATCTTTTAGTTGCCATGAGTTTTTGATTCTACATATGCTTCATCTTTGTTAGACTAATTTTCTTCTTCGTGTGACAATTTTTAAGTCCTTAGTGATAAATTATATGTATTAGAAGATGAATAATTTAAAAAGAAAATCCTTGAATGACTTGAAGTATCACCATTATTGTATTAGTTGCTGTTGCTATGTATAAATTATCCCAAACCTTAGGAGTGTAAATCAACAAATTTCTATCTCAGTTTCTGAAGGTCAGGAATCTGAGAGTGGATTAGTTGTGCTGTGGCTCAGGGCCTCTCATGAGGTTACAGTCAAGATGTTGGCGGGATCTGCTCTCTCACGTGAAGGTTTGGCTGTGACTGAAGATTCTCTTCCAGAAACAGAGCTGTTCCCCTCACATGGCTGTTGATGGGAGTCCTGGTTCCTTGCCAAGTGGACTGCACGCCATGTTGTGTCAGAGCAGGTGATCCAAGAGAGTAACCAAAATGGAAGCCACAGTGTCTTCTCATGATCTATTTGTTGACTGTCACTTCTGCCTTATTCTCTTCCTTACAAACCATTTGCTAAGTGTAGTGTATACTCAAGGGGAGGAGAAGTAAGCTCCACTTCTTGAATGGAAGAGTATCAAAGAATTTGTATATACATGCTTAGAAACCATCACAACTAAAATTATTATTAAATTACTTTTTTTTTTTTTAAACCTTGTGATGGTGGTTAAGGTCCTAGGTCAAAACATAAATCTGAAAAAAAAAACCCAAAAAACAAAAAACCTCTCCAAAACCTTAAACCTCAAACCAACCAGCCAGCCTGCCAATCAAAAAACATTGTTGTGTAAATTCTCTGGGTGGTTGTGCATGAGATCAAATCTTTTGGATGAATTTAGTTGATTTTTTTCTTAATTTACAGTAGACATTTGACAGTAAGCTCTTGATGGTACTTGAAGAATCTTAATTCTGTATGTTATCCTCCTACTATGGAACATTCTGGCAATTCCAAGGGAAGTGGAAATTTTATATTTAAATTGAATCCTGTCTTTTAAAATTTTTTGTAGGCATTAGTAAAGCTTCATTGTTTCAGATCTCATTAACTGAGAATGTGAAACTTTTATCATAGACTGGACTGGTTTGCTTTAAAATTCTTTAAGAACTCTTTAATAAGTGTAGTGCTATTGGAACAAGATTGCAGTAGCAATTTTACCTAACTTTGTGTCTAAGTATGAATTGTTTACTGTATTCCAATATTTATCTTCTAGTACCATTCATTCTTAAAGTGTTAAATAGGCTAGTTCGTTTAGTGGAATTTCTATTTGGCTAACTTTGATATTTCAAGAGACAACCTGTACTTAAAAGTAATCAGATTATACTTACTAGAAAATGTTTGTAATACTCTTAATAATCATAACTACCATAGGAGAGGTACAAAGTGCTGTGGAGTTTCAAAGGAAGATTAAGACTTCTGTGATTAATCAGGAAAGGAGTAATTTCATTTTGTTAGGTGCTGTTAAGCTGGATTTTGAAGGATGGTCAGAAGTGCTTTTACTAGTTACAGAAGTAATACATGTTCATTTAAAAATTCCAACATAATGGAAATATGGAATTTTAACTCCCAGAGATAATCATTAATAATACATAGCAATTAAAATATTGATAAGAACAGAGCCTCAGAATCTTTTTTTTCTTGTCATAGATCATCATCTGTAGCCCATTTGATTATCCTAGCATGGTGTCAGTTTTCTGTTTAGAGGGAATTTATTTTACTGGTACTTATTTTATTCATATCTTTGTTCAGTTTTTACTCTGGTGGCTTAGCTGTAGATTGATTCTTCCTGAAGATGGCCATTCAGTTGACATTGTTTTGTGTACCACTGTATACCCAGTACCTGCTGCAGTATCTGGGATATGGTAGGTGCTATTTCATTTTATGCCAATTGAATGAATAAAAGTCTCATGAAAGCTAAAATATACTTGAAGTGGTATAAACTACTAGAGTGTTAATATTTACTTATTTAACAGCATTATTCTGAAGTTTAAAAAATTATTTTTAAAAATAATTGGCTCTTTTTTTAGTTGTGAAATACAGCTATTATGAGAAATTGAGAAGTTATTCCATGTTACATTTTATTTTTTCAAAGTTAATTTATTTTTTGAGTCAGATTATTTTCATTATAACTGCTATAACATTTAAATACCTTTAAAAATTCTCTTATGTTTTCTCTGCCAGTTTCATGTGGGAAATTTATTTCAAATGCCAGTGAAATGAGTTTTCTAAGCCTCGAAACAAGTCTCTTTCTTGTCCATTCACAGTTATACTAGGATCGCATGGTCTTCATAATCTTCTTCTTAAATGTCCAATGGGCTTTATAGGGATTGCTACTCCTGTTGTGGAATGGTCCTGAGATGGGTTTAATTTTAATTTTCATGGGAGGCTGGAGACATCTCTCTGGCCTTTCTGTTCATCTGTTTTTCTTCAGTATATGCCCTTGTGTAGGTAGGTACACAGTGCATAATGTGCTTGGGGTGAATAGTAAAGAGGATGCTCATTGGTTATTAATACAACTTAGTCCACAAAAAATCTGGAGACCTCCTACATAGCTGTATTATAAAACTTTATGGAGGTGAGTAATATACTTTGTTGCATCACCTATATTACTGATCTGTACTGTCTTCTAGGCATGGAGCTTAGCACTTTACATAATTATTTGAAGGAGTCCTCACCACAACTCAACTGCTATTATCCCCGTTTTATAAAAGAATAACTGAGGTTCAGAAAGATTTAGTCCCCTTGCAATACATAGCTTATAAATGGCAAAGCTTGGATTCAAACCTAAGCAGTCTGGTCCTTGAGCCCCATCTTAAACAACTGTGCTGTAGTGAATAAAAGGTTCTGGGCAAAAAGGAATGATTGAATCAGTTCTGAGTAAATTAACACAGGATTTGTGGGGTAGCTATGATTATCAGTCCATAAGGGATGGAATCTGAGGTCAGGTTCATTAGAATCAGTTCCAACCGAATGAACTGGTCACTAGAATTATTTCAGATATTCAAGGATCTTAGAATTTAAGCCTCAATAGCCAATATTAAACTGTACCTTTCTGTTTTAGAGTTATGGGTTGATAAAAATTGATTGGAAGTGAGTAGTATATAGTGGTAGATTCTTTAGGTCTTATAGTGAAAGGCCTAAAGGAGATTTAGGGC